GTCATGCAAACTAATACTCTGTTTTGACATTTAAAAAAAATGTAAATATATACAAATAGTTTAATGGTCCATCTCTTTGAATGATTTTCATTCCTAATTCTAGGAGGGTACATGGGTTGACCCAAATTCATGAATGAAATGTCAAGCAATCTTATCATTAATGCACTTTTATTTAATTTAATGTAGTCATATTGTGAACATTTCCAGTTCATTAAGAGAGTGGGGATGACCGCCAGGGGTTCATAACCTTAAATCATTAGATGTACATAACAAAATAACACAAGAGACAAAATTATGTATAGTCAAATGGAAAAGTTTTCTACTATTTTGGAGTCACATGATCTTTTGTCATTTCAGGGACAAGGAGCGGCTAGGGAGATTGGACCCCCCCCCCCTCTTGGAATTTGCAGAGTTATTTAAATAGGACTATATACTGATTTACAGAAGCAAATAAAAAATGACTTTGGACGCCCCCCCCTCCCCCCTTTAAAAACATAGACCCCACCATCATTGTTTTTATTATTATTTTTTTTTGTTTGTTTGTTTGTTTGTTTTTTTTTTTTTTTTTTGCTTCTCAAGAAATTCTGGGCTGGAAATTTTTTTGACTGAGGTGTGGAGCCACCCCCCTGGAAAAATTCCTGGATCTGTGCCTGTAACTGAATGTAATGTCAACTACGGGAGATAACTCTTCAGAATGTGAAATTCGTCTGTTGTGGCATTCGATGATCTTTGATCCTTTTTAAACTTTAACCTAACCATTTGCATTTCAGATTAAATTACCCCAATCTATACCTAAACTTGTACTTACCGACTGTCATAGGTACTGTCAACTTCATGAAATATAATCCAATTAAAACACATGCACACAATGAATTAATTCCTACTGATATAGGCCTATGTAACGATGTCTACACCATGTGCAATCCAAATGATAATGGTAAAACTAGTACTAATAGGGTGACGCAAGTCCAATGTGATGTAGAAATTTTCAAATGTACACATGTACATTACAAGGACAAATTTTAAATTATCATTACAAACGATGTTTTAACATAACTTTAATTGCTATCTATGCCTTTTTCCAAAAACAGGCAAATTGTGTGTGTGTGTGTGGGGGGGGGGGGGGTGACAAAATTGATTGTGTGTGGCTTTTTGAGCAGGTTTTTGCCTACCCAAATACTGAAAAAGTTTGCACGATTTGTTCAATCCTGAAAGTTGGCATCTAAGTTCATCAAAAACGCTTTGCACTAAAATAATATTATTTGTTGTTGAGAAAATAAATGTAAAAAGTTCCAATTATGGGCCAAAAATTTTTTACCCCCCTTTATCAAAACCTAATTATATAATTTACATCATTAATTAAATTTTGTTATTTCAGACTGGTAATGAATTAAGTACATGTATATGAAATGCGTATGAGAGGCTCATGGGTCACATGGTCACCTGCATGAGCATTTTATGCTCGATTTGACAAATACATGTTCTGTGTAAATTATAGAATTATTTTGGCTTTTTCCTTGGTTATCCCAGTATGAAGGGGTGTGCATTTAGAGGCAAACACCTTAGTGCGGGTATTACTGTCTTATGACAGCATCTAGTTTGAAATTGTAACCTCTCGAATAGTGAAAAAGTGTTTTATTTTTCCAAATGCATCCTTTCTTTTAAATACGTATCAAATAAGTTGTGCTAAAATCATCTCAAAAGATCCCTCAAACGAAAATAAATTCCACAGAATTCCAGTTATCTAGCATATAATGGAAGTTAAAACTATTCTTATACAGTAAAGTTACTACTTTGAACAATTCCGTAATTATAGAACGTAAACGAGCTTGTTACGAAGTCGTACATGTAAAGAGCTAAATCGCTGAAATATGTATCATTGTCATGTCTTTTTATGAGACAATTCAAATAGTGGTATGAATGTTTGAATATTTTTGAATATTTTCCAAAATGTGTCAAGGTACGTCATAAATATCCAAATTTTGACCTTCAAATATACCTCAGACATGTTTACAATCTCTTTAAAATTTATTTTTAAATACTTTACAATGTTAGTCCATGTTCAAGATAAAAGTTTAGGGTAAGAAAAAATACTTTCAAGCATACATTGCAGCATATGTTCATGTTTGTATACCTTGAGTTAGGTTGGAAGAAGAAAAGGGAGCCGTATACTACTGAGATCAATTATAGACATTCTTAAAAAACAACATGGTTACAATTTGTAAACCTGATTTCAAGCATCAATATACTGTTTGTTACATGCAAAATTATGGATTCAATTTTCTAGACGAGGTGTATGACCCATGTGGCCCATGTTTCTCTTCTAGTCAAACAGATATCTCTATAATCGTTGAAGACAAAAATGTTAATTTAATATAAAGTTATATACATCACAAAATAAAAAGGTTGTTATTTTGAAAGAATGCAGTATAATAGGGTTAATTACACCGACACTAAGAAATGCAGCAAGATATCCGTCAGATTAAAAGTGTAATCATCAGGCATTATTTACTCTGATAATGAGGACAAGCCTAAGAAAAAAATGCATATGAAACCAGAATTAAACATACATATAAGTATATCAAAATACGAATATTCGAAGGATCCGGTCAAATAGATGATCATCCTTGGAGACCACTATCACTCGGGAAAGAAGACCTTCAAAAGGTGAGTGCCTATTTAAATTCTTCACAATATCAGCATGGAATTATAGCTTTTTATTCTTATGTCTTAGAATCATGACCAGCACATAGATTTTTCCTTTTGCTCGTCAAGGATATATCTATTCAATCAATTATTTTGTCAATACATTGTTTCTTAAAATATTCATCGAAATATATGACAAAATTTCACTACCTAAGGCATTCTCAATCATATTTTCTCTTATGTTAGGATACCTACAAAAATAGGGTTTGCGAACAATGGATATGCCATTCAGAATTTGTAAGATTTTTAATGAAAAACGTATATTATTAAGCATTTTTACTGTCAGGATATGCTTCCTTTTCTTTTCAGAAGACTAACTGATATCTGAAGGATAAAGTTCTAGTAACTCGGAACCCCCCCCCCCCCCCAGTAAAAGAGATAAGGGAAGTACAATAGCCTTCATATTTTAATAAAAAGAAATGAAATAGCTAATCCTACTTTTGAGTAAATATTCATCTTTTACATCTAAGGAGGCTTTGATTTTTAAATTGATGTTAGACATTCTATCGCTAAATCAATGAAAAAAGTGAAGAGAACGAAAAGTGATCTATCTCATAAATCCAGTAAAGAAACGAATCATGAACAGGACAAAAACACGCCCCTGGAAACACCAGCTGAGGTGGGATCAGGTGGCTAGGAGGAGTAAGCATCCCCTGTTGACCAGCCCCGACCTCCCTGGGAGCCGTAGGTATTGCTCAGGAAGGACTACTTATTAATGTAGTCAGATTTATTATAAAAGTAATAATCTAACAAGTGGTATTAAACATGTCAACAAAATACGACCCAACACTAGATTGTGTTTACAACAAAGTCATTATAACGACCATATATTTTGCAAAAAACAACAGGTTTGTTGCAATCCCTGTAACATCACCTTATTTTTAGTGGCTTGCGCATACTTTATTAAGAGAACTTGTCAGTAATCATTGATAATTATCTTTAAAAAAGTGGAAAGTGCAAAAATCTTAAATATGAACGAAAAGAATCATGCTTTGAGTTTTTATGACAACGAACCATGTCCATATATAATTCATGTATTGTTGTATTTTTCTTTTTAACTGTATTTATATGATATCCAAACAATGTACAGTGGTAGGAAATTCAAGGAAGCACATAGTTTATTATATTTATCTTTCAAATATACATATATCCCTGCTTATTCTTAATATTTTGAAAAGTAGATCAAAAAGAGAATTAATAGTTTCTTTTCAGCCAGTATTTTTTCTGAGGCGCAACAGAGGTGACATTTATTCTTCATGCCGTTTATTAGACAGATGTTTATGCTGCCTATTAAATTTGAAGAAAACAATAATCGCATTCAAAATGTTCCATGGAGCAACATAAATTGGGAGAAGAGCAAATACAGAACTCTAAAATCACCATAGGTGCGATCAGCTACCATGGATGAATAAGCATCCCCTGTTGCCCCGACACATCCACCGTGTTCTCTTTTTCATATCGGACAAACGGGAGAATCATTGACAATTCAGTATTGAAAATTATGGCCTTCCAATTTGAATGAAAAAGTCAGTCAACATTCCACTTATATTTTGTGATTTCAAATTTTCTAAAGTTTCTTAAGAGTTTTCAAGTATTCATATCTGATTAACAACACTTCTCCAAAAAACCACCATTGATTAGAATAAGTAAAATGATTTATGTTGACCACTGTTTGTTATATTCACCTTTTCACTATAACCACTTCGCCAAGCGGTTGACCAAACTTGAAAAGTAGTAATAAAAAGGGAATGCAATGGTGTGGAAACTTTAATGAATTGCTAAGTATGCTTTGGATTTTTTTGTTTTGATTTGTTTATTCCGTTTGATTTGTTAGTGTTTGTTTTTCCTTTTTTGTTTTGCTTAATACCGATTCTTTTTTTTTCAATTTGAAGAAGGATGTGTAGGGTTATATAATTGGTGTATATGAAATTATAACCAACCTAGAAAAACGTACTGGTCCCATGGTTAAATCTAAGCTATAACCTGGTTTTAGAATATGTGTACCTTCTTGTGATAAAAAAACCTCCAAAGGAGCGAGTGAGTTTTTCAAGGTGATAAAAATCAGCTACATGTATGTAGGTTAAGTTTATTTTTTAAATATCAAACTCGAGGTTGGGTTTTACTGTCTGTAACAACACTTTCAGTATTTTAAGATAACATTTAACAAACTGTAGAAGAGTACAGTACGCCCGAAGTTGCATTACGTTTGAAGTCTTTACTTAAATCCTTTTCTTCTTCAAAAGATGGACACTGTTTAAGCAATCAACACGTTACAAGCCAGGAAACTACTTAAGATGAATGTATGTATACATGAATTGACATTTAACAGTAGTTCAAATTAATTACAGAAATCTTTGTTTACAAACAAGAAGTCTGTCGATTCCTTCATTTGTTGCGCCAATGTTTCTTGTTTATGTTTTAATTTTAATACTGATGTAAATATTGTAAATTCAGCTGAAATTGCAATTTTTATTATTTTTGACTTTTTAACCCATCATGTGAATGATTTTTTTTTCAACAGAAGGGTAGAAATATTAAATTGGATTTTCAATTATGCTACACTTTATTTGTATCTTTTTTCAGGAAATGCAATATTTTAAAAAGCCATGGACTTTATGTACAGATATATCGACCGTGATTGTGTTATGCAGCATATTAATCAGGGTAAGTGATTTTTTTTAAAAATCCATGACACAACATTTACGAAGAATTGCAAACACCTGAAACTATTTGCTGTCCATTTGTATTTTTTATAGTTTAGACATTGCAAATAATTTTACAGATCATTTTCAATGAAAAAACAAAGTTATCAGTTATATGAATCATGAGAAAATCTTGTATCGCCGTTTGAGTCACTAAATCCAAAAATTCTCGGGAGCTCCAATGATGTATCATTTTCTATTTGTATATTTCTCTGTGTGTTATTTATGACCCTTTTAAATAACATGGCAGTCAAGTGGCTTCTTAACGACTCCTGCATATAACGTCATATAATTGCCATTTAAGTTGATATATCAATAAATTTTCACATAATGGTACTCCAGATCACAGAGTTTTTATCTATGTAAATTTTGTAACTATATTTTCATACAATCTGGTAATATACAAAACATTGAAGGCAATGGCTATATCTAAAAGTAAAACAAAAATGTGACGAGCCGTGTTTTTTAAGCAATGCAGTACATTTGGGGTTGTCCCAGAAAAACGCGAACTTTTTAAATATTTCATAAGATACCCGAACAATATTATTCATTTTTTAAACATTGTTGGGGAATAAAATTTTCATTCTTTTGGGCTTAATATTATGAGGTTGTGATAGCATATGCATAGAGAAACGGAATTTAATGAGTGCATGTTAAATATAGATGTATATGTCAAACATGTCAACAAACGTCGTACAATGTAAGATAATGCAGCACATCAAATTATCAGTCAGTGCGATATTGAGTGGAGTACGACTCCGGTCCTGTCCATAAGGGAAAAGATATAAAAAAAAATTGAAAGACACAAACGGTTTTCATAAACTGGCTCATACCTGACAGATGTGATTCAAGGATGACTAGTCTAGTCCTCAGATGATAGAGACGCTTAGTAGACCCCCCCCCTTTTTTTTTTTAAAAAACAACAAACAGAAAAGTCATGAGCTGGACGTTAGAAATGGAAATCGTCGCTTGTTCATGGTCGAGGGGCAAGAAATTGTCTATTCAAAGAATTAATTTTCCGATCTTTCGATACCTATGTTCGAGATGGGTACTTTGCTTACCAACTGAAAATCAAAGATAATTCCTTGGTCAATAAATCTTAAAAATTCTAAGGAAAAGAAGCACGGTTCATTAAAAAATTCACAAACTACGTCTTGATGTTGTCGGTTTCGCGCTTTAGCTATATTGTAAGAGTCCTTTTATTAAGAGGAAATGTTATTTATACAGATCTTTCGTTGAAAGTTCTATGTAGCACTGAAAAATACCGATAATGATGCCTTCCGATTCTCAAATTTATAATACTGGTGAAACAACAGCACGAACAACAGAAAACAACAAAACAACCAAAAAATAAAAAAATCAAACTTCACTTTACCAAACCTTTTACTTTGAGAATGATTATACATACATTTGCAGTAATATTCGTATCAAGTTTACCGTTTTTACAGGTTTTGTCAATCTGGTACGTGGTTGGTGGCTTCATCTTAAAGTTCGACGAGCCCTTGCTCAGTGTGGATGGTATTGCTTTCCTTAACAACGTATTTTTGGGATCCCTGCCTCTTGGATCGTTCATCAACGGTCTTGTTCTGTCTCTGCTTCCATCTATCATCATACATACAGTTAATGCAGCTGTCACATTCTTTGGTATTTGTCGGAAGATGAAAGGCTGTTTGATTGCCGTGAGTTCGAAATGTTTGGGTCGTATACTCGTAAAAGAAATATATTGATATTTGGCTTTTGAACCACCTTTCTGAAATAGAATGAATTTGCATACATTATATTAAATCATTCCTTACTGAATTATCTTGGTACTCATTTTACTGCTGTAAACCTGTACCAACAAATTTATTAAATGTTTTGACACTATGAAAGCAATATTTTTGTTTAATAATTCATTGATTCCGATGGCTTCCGCCATTAGAATGTTGAACAGGTACGTAAAACTAGGGGTTGGTTTGGGTCAGGGATGAGCTTGACTCGCGCTTTTTAGTCCCCTACCGGTGAAACCGGAGGGGACTATAGGTTTCCTCTGAGTCTGTCCGTCCGTCTGTCTGTCCGTCTGTCTGTCTGTCTGTCCGTCTGTCTGTCTGTCTGTCTGTCTGTCCCTCTGTCTGTCTGTCAGTCTGTCCCACTTGGTTTTCCGCACTTTTTTCCTAAACGCTTGCAGATATTGAGCTGATTTTTGGTATGTGAGTGTATCTTGATGGGTTACAGATCAAGTTTGCATTTCGTTCCGCTTCATTGATTTTTGACGGAATTACGGCCTTTTCAATTTTTAGGGGTTTTCCGCAATTTTCTTCTAAACGCTTGTAGATATTGAGCTGTTCTTTGGTATGTGACTTTACCTTGATTAGTTATAGATCAAGTTTGCATTTCGTCCCGCTTCATTGAGTTTTGACGGAATTATGGCATTTTCAATTTTTACCGGGAACCAGATTACACTTGCCGGTAGGGGACTAGTATTGCTAATGCAATACTCTCAGAATGCTTGTTATTATGTACTTTCATGTAGATTCCTCTGTGGAACAATTTTCGAATAAAGATTATAAAATGATAAATGAGTTATCATGTTCAATAGAAAAGTGATTTTAAAATAATGAGAAGATATCCATGGTTTGTTCCAGAGTGCCACAATAAACATTCTTATGATAATATACCATTTCCTTACCATCGTATTGACATCCTGGCTAATTGATGAGGTGAGAGAACAAAAAAGTTTCCTTTCAAATTTTAATAGTTGGAATTAATTTTTTATTCTATTGTTGTGCTTTCCTAATTCATATTTTAGATGGAGTCTAGCATTTATCGACAGTTAAAGAGGACATTTGACATAAGATCGGACAAATATATACCAGAGGTGGGTATCTTTGAGGCTGAAGTTCATTTTTTAATTTATTTCAAGTCAAATGAACGTCATTAAATAATGTTCAAAAAATTTTAAGTTTATTTTGTTCAAATAGTAAAGTTTTGTACTTAAGAGAACTTCAATTTCTGATCATGATAGTTCGCTATTGCGATTAGAAATGTTTAAACGGTGCAATAAAGATAATTAGGGTGAGTTAACCATGCATCGGACACATACCTTGCTTCGGACAACTTTCATTGAACCTGAGTCTCTCCGTGGTTTTACTTGTTTCTGTCTTAAAGGTGAAGAATTAAACTTTTTATTGATGCCGATCTTTATTTTCATGTTGTGATAAAAATACCACAGGAATGGCCTTGAAATTACGTCATATTTTGCATCATCATAGGGAGTATCCAGAATTTTACGATTTTGCAATTTTTAGAATTGTCGTTCTTTTAAACAGACGTCAACGGAATGGGTCGGATCTTGGTAAAATTTGTCAATGATTGATAATATTACAGAAATTTTTCAAAAATTTTACTTCAATGTTTCTATAATATATTTTAGAGTTGTTTTTAACTAGTATGTTTATTTCACCGTACATCGGACAAAAATTAACCATGCATCGGACACTTTCCGATGCATGGGTAATCACTTTCATTTTCATGTAAAAACTCAAATGACAGCTGTTTTTTACGGAAATAGAAAATAGATATTCTAAATTTTCAGTGAAAATACAAATTATCGATATATGACGACTAGAAGTGGACTCAATTTATTTCTTTAAACTAGATGATTATAACCCACGAGACAAAGGCGCGAGTTGCCATATTACTAGCATTGTAAAGCCTTTCTAAGGCGATGTGATGCAACTAAAATCTCTTCATATTTGTGGATCGAAAAAGTCATTCAAATTTAATTACAAGGTTACTTTTCAAATAAAAGATAAAAATGTTTCGAAATCACTAATTTTAAAGCACCGAGATCAAGGTATGATATTTTTCTGGTTTAAATATCGTATGTCCGATGCATGGTGAATATTGTCCGATCCATGGTGAATTCTGACTTTTTTCGAAAAAATCGGTTTTTAATGATATTTTCTCAATAAATAGTGCACGATTGTGTCAAAAATTTATATTTTAACCACATACTACATGTTAAGTTCCATTTTGATAATATTCGGTCGGTAGCGATATCGCTAGAACTTGTTGAAGTGCAAGGGTGTCCGATGCATGGTGAATTCACCCTACTGATAAAGTTTAAGACATGAGAAAAATTTCGCAGTGATGTTGAATTTTTTTCTCATTAGCCCTAATTTTTTGTCAAAAAAATCATATTTTTCTCTACAACTTATTCTTTCTTAAAAGAAATATTCTTTAAATAAATAATTCTTTATAATTTTATCAAAAATATAATTACCAAATTACAATACGGACGATAACATTTTAATAACTGCTTAAAATTGTGTATTACATGCACCATACTAATTGTCAATCAAAACTCAATTTGATTATGGAATCGTAAATCCTATACAATACGCTAAAAACATTAATAATTACTAAGATACTTATTGTAATGATTTATTCTCAAAAATTCAAAATGTAAAGATCGAAATGAATCGTAGTAAGAGAATTGCATCTCTGCATAAAATTGATTAAAAATATAAATAGACTTACTGAAGAGCTTACAATTGCAGAAACATCGTTTCAGTAACAATAACAAGTAAGGAAATTTGTATGATTTACGTCCCTTGTGGCAACGAGCTTTGAAAAAATTACGCACTTTGAAAAAAAAAATTCCCAGTGCGATAAAATTGGGACAAAATCAACGCACTTTGGAAAAAAATTCAAAGTGCGTTAAATTTGGGACAAAATAAACGCACTTTGAAAATTTTTTTCAAAGTGCGTTATGAGAGTACATCAACAATTTTAACCATGGAGGCACTTAACGCACTTTGAAAAAATATGTTTAAAACTAAAATTTTGGACTGAGATTTTAGTAATAGACTGCATTATTTTGTTAGATTTTCTTCAGAAAAAAAACTGATGAATTAATTCATTCTCATCGAGAACGAGAACATAACAGGTAGAAGGTCCTTCAGCCAAACTCTTTATCTTTCCTTTACATAACTGGTATGATATTGATATACTTTCTCTCAAAAAAATATTTTATTTTGATGAAAAAAAGATGGAAAAATGAGATAAACATTCCTGAAAAAAAAATAACGCACCCTGTTATACTGTATTAAAGAAGAGAGACCATTTCGATGATCTAAGCAACTTACTATGTTTTGGCCAAAGAAGCTTTATAAAATCAAATACAATACAAAACAAAACTGTATAAAACGCATAAATAATTAATTTTTTATGCCTCTTAATACTAATCAAATAACCGTTAAAAGAGCCATTTTTTCATGCTTATCAAATAACTCTAAAAAGACCATCATATTATGAAGGAAAATTATTTTTTATGAGCATACAAACTTGGACTCCATTTTGTCGCATGTCTCGTATATGTAGCCTTTAAGGTTATATTTAAAAAAAACTTGAAAATTCTAAAAACAGTAAAAAGTATAAGGAAGTCCTTAGTGTATATTGAATTTTAGTTCTTTTAAAATTGGAAGTCCATAAATGTTCATTGCCATCATACCTACATGAGGCGTCGGAAAAGGGGGGGGGGGGGGCTGAGGGGGCTTAGCGCCCCAAAGTTTTTTTTTGCATAGACATAATATAGGCATTTGCTAGAATATTGACCAATTCGTGCACATTTTTTTCAAAGTGCGTTAATATGGTCAATATTACCGCACTTTGAAAAGAATTTTTTCAAGGTGCTTTAACTTTGTCCAAATTTAACGCACTTTGAAAAAATTTTTCAAAGTGCGTAATTTTTCAAAGTGCGTTGTCGTTGTAATAGTCCCTTCAGCACTCACTATAGACCAACTTATTTTAGACGTACCATATTTAGTGATCTCGTTAAAGTACACACTAATATATGATTAAAACAAATGCAAACAGAAGCTTGTCTCCAAATACGCTGAGTCATACTTCCGCTAATAAGTTGATGGAGAAGACTGCGATAAATTTTGAGTGCGCTGATTTATGTAAGTTTGCAGTATATTGGAACACCATCAGTTGGTGGTGAATGGTCTCAAATTAAGACCTAAATCAGCATATTTGGCGAGTTAGCAAAGAGAAATCTTTTTCGTGTCTGTATCTCCTGCGACATGGGATGTTCATTTAAACGTCCTGCAGTGAGATTCGAACCTGTCTCTTGAAGAAACTCTTTAACAATTGCATCAAGCGGGCGACACAGTTAAATGTTATTCTAAAATAAAATACTTGACAAGTAAATGAACGGACATCTATCGAAACGTTCATCGAAAATTTTTACCACCTCTTAGAGCTCTTAAAACTCAAATCGTACTAGTAGAGTTATCTTCCTAAAGAAATCACCAACGTTCACACTCAAAAATGTAAATTATTTAGCTAATATCTAGATATCTTGAATTTCTTCTCCATTCATGTATTCTCTACATATATTCATTGTAAACTTATTTACCTGTAGATATTGTCAGGTGTTCAGAATCCACACTATATGATAGAACTAATATGATTTTATTCTTGTCCTATGTTTTCCAGATGAACTGTTGTGGGTTTGACATTGACCGTACTCCCTGTGTCACAGTCCCTACCTCACTTCCGCCTTGCTTTGATTACATTAAGGAGAAATTAAAGGCATACGGAGGTTCCTTTATTGCTGTTCTTGTCGCTAATATTTTAGTTTCTGTAAGTGTAAGGAACTATGTTAATAGTGTTTTAGATTTGTTCTTTTGATATCCTTATGACTTTCAAAATTTTAGCAAGTTGACTTTAAATGATATGGAAAATATAAACCAGAACAACTAATCTTTAATTGGGAAAACGTGTTTTATAATAAAGGTGATTTGTTTTATGTTATGTTTTTGAAGAATACCAAATTTTTTTTTTAAATTCTTATAAACTGTCTAATTCAATATTTTGGAGTTTTGTTTTATTCAAAGGCAGTTATGGTAATAGGAACAGAGTATCTTTTTCGATATGAACAAGTGAAATCAAAACAAAGTCAGGACTCTAATCTCAGGAATATAATAGAGAAATCTGAACTGTACAATAGCAGAAATGGAATGTACGCTAAGATCAGCTCATTTCTGAAGGGAAGCTGGGAAAGGTATTTTTAACAATTAACAAGTGAGATTACCAAAAAAAATAATAAATAAATAAATAAATAAAAATCAAGAGCCAAATAGATAAAGTACATGTACTAATATAATCAATACAAATGATACATTAATTTTTTTAAATAAAATTAATCAAGTGTACAAAAGTGTAAGAATTTTTGTCCATAATGCAAGCAATTATTTTATTCAGTTCAATAATGTGTTTATTATCTTGCATGTGTATTTCATTTTCAGACTGGAATAGTTTTTTGTCTCCACTTTTCCAAACATAACTTAATATTGTTTTATGATTGCTCTTTCAGAAATATACTAGCTTCAAAATTTGGATACCTCAGCGTTATTGTAATAGTGAGTACTTTCCCTTCAGTTATTGATTCAATTATTCAAATTTCATACATCATTTGGTTACAATTGAAAAAAGGAATATATATCACATGATATTCTGACTTGATTTCAAGTATGATTTTTTTGTCTTTTTAGATGTTGGATGGAGGAATAATTCTGGCTATAATATTTGTTAGATATAACCTTTACGACCTGACAATGTCAGAAGAATTTAGCTCTATATATGCGTATGGAAAAGTTTATATCAACATGGGATACCTCAAAGATGCACTTCTAATTACATTTATATGTCTTCTCATTTGGTCGATCGTAGCAAAGGTGTTTTATTTCACTGGAATATATCTTAACAAGAAATGTTTGCTAGCTGCTGTAAGTACTTTTTACATCCTGGCTTTTAAATCTATTGAAAATATTACTGCTAAGATTTTAAAAGGATTTTTTTTATAGAGTAAAGAAATTAAAAAAAAATATCATTGAAATTTTGTAATGTAATTAAATCAATTTAGATACTCTTAATTTATTTTGGCGTGTCTTGTTCCGTCTTTCCTATATGTAAGTATAACTGTAAAAGTTCTTTTTTTCAGTTCATGTGTTCCGAAATTCTTGTGCTGGCAGTAGAGTGTATCATTTTTGCGCTTGCTTCGTATCTTCTGCGAGTTGTAAGTAGAATTCGGATTGAGATGAAGCTTTAAAATGTTTAATAATTGAATTGCTATTAATTATTTTCAATCTGTTATTTTGTTTTTTGAAAGCTGTATTGCTGTGATTGGAATCGAACTGGTCTAGATAGCTGTCCCTTTTCGTATGGATTCACCACACCTTTACCGGTAATGATGACTAACAGCAAATTTATAGGGCTACAATGAATGGTATACTCTGAATTGTCTTGTATGTATTTAGAAATTCATTACATAGACCTTATATTTTCTTTAACTTTATCAATTTTGCTGATACCAAGGAAAGTGTCCAACAACCCCCAGAATGTAAAGAATTGCTTAAAAAGATGCGAACACCTTCTTTGAGTATATTTTTTATAAAATTATTATGAATATTTCCTAATGCGATGTATATTCAATTTTGTTAAAAGCATTGCTGTTTGGTGAACTGATTATAATACAATATATTGAAGCAAAACAAAAGTTTATTCGCTATGACAGTTGGCCTCCTGATATTATAAATCGAAAAAATGCTGTTAATTTTTGTTTGTTTATATATATGTTCAACATATATTCATAACATGGCCGTAAAACCTAAACTGATTAAAATACAATATTTTGAAGCAAAACAAAATTTTATTAAAAGTTTAAAATACATAGGTAATAAAATACTTTTATTATTGACATTGCAATCACTTTTTCTGCAATTTTCATAGATATGTGACCGATCTTGGACAAACGCTGCAAAATTCACTTGGTTTTCAATTTGGATTCTTATCCTTCACATTTTTCTTAAGGTAACTGATGTTTAGATATAAATGTGAAGTATACTCTATGAAATATCTGTATGAGAAAATGTAGGGGTTTTTTTTTTTTTATATGTTTTAGATATTTTATATAGCAAGAGCAGACAATGTTTACAAACACACGATGACCAAAGCTGACATATTAGAAAGAAAAACTGTAGTTCAGAAAAGTGGATTCTTCTACAATGTTTATCTATCATCGAAAAGGTATATTAATTTTTTCAATATATATATATATATATATATATATATATATATATATATATATATATATATATATATATATATATATATATATATAGGGGGCATTTTCTCTCCGTTTTATTTTCGTCCTTTTCGCCCTCGAATTTAAATCGAGCTGAATTCAAAGTACAATTATTATTGCATTAAGACTCTGGGCAAATTTTAAACAGGGCAACGTATTTTGCGAGTGTGAAGAGGAGAAAATAAAACTGGGCCAAATAACCCTCTTTACAGTCTCTCTCTCTCTCTCTCTCTCTCTCTCTCTCTCTCTCTCTCTCTCTCTATATATATATATATATATATTTCTCTCTCTTTTCATATGCTCTGTTCTTTTCTTTATTTCTTCATAACCTCCCATTGTGTGGTGTCAAACTCTCGCATTGAGAAATCTGTTACATAGTAAGCACGTTGTTCAGGAGTAGGAAACACAGTTAAAAAGATACGTTTTAGATTTTGATAGCATTCTCTAAAAACGAAATAATAAGAAAAGTTGATTACCATTATTTTCAAACTTTTTGAAAAATTATTTTAATTTTCATCGTTCAAAATTGTACAAAACATATGTTCTCCAATGAAATATATGGAGATAACGAACAGTATTCAAGCTCAAAAGTCCATAAACATTACAAAATAGGTGCAGAGCAAACACGGACCTCCAAAACATCAGAGGTGGGATCAAGTGCCAAGGAGGAGTGAGCATCCCCTACCGACCGGTCACACCCGCCATGTACTCCTTGTTATGATCGGGAAATAACGGAAAATCCGTCGACAATTCAGTGTGTAAATAATGACCTAACAATTAGTATGAAAAACGTCAGTCAGCATTTGACTCAATGATAAATTGTATTTGCTGACAAGGTCATAGTATCGACCATAGAACTTACGAAATGATGACTTTAAACGAGACTGCTGATATTCTTGTTTCATCAACTTGTTTGTCAGTAATTTACCTCGTTGTAGAAACTGTACATACGTAGTACGGTTTGTTCCCGTTTTGCACACATTTGAATTTCAGGTATTGAAAAAATGTGTGCAAAACGGGAATTTGTCCAGGTAAGATGATTACTTAATTGCTATAGTCTATATCATAGTTGTGAATTTGAAGAAAGAGATTCTACGGAAAGAATAGAAAGAAAAATGTTAATTTTGCACTTTATATTTTGACTTAATTCTTGAAAAAATCATTTTAAAACATAAAAAAACCCCAAAACTATAATTAAATGCACATGATACTAACTAGACAGGTTAATTTAAGATTGAATTCATTTACTTATTCATTTTATCTTTATGAAGTAAAGAAACATGGTGAAATGCGATAGGGATATTTGTCTAAACTACCAACTTCATCTTCGGTTGGATAAGTAAAATTCTCATAATGTATTCCCTTAAATATTTAATATAATGCATTGGTAATTCACAGGTAATTCCAGGTAAATCCCAGACGAAGATCAGACTATAATTGCTATCAAAACATATTTCACCCCTATTGTTCTATACCTAATTATCAAATGTGTGCAAAACGGGAACACATCCGTAGTACATACGTAGGAAATAAAACACAGGTAATTAAATATATAATTTACATGAATACTTTTATGACTTATCGAAATGACTCAAACTTTATTATGTTTTCTTAATACATGTATTTATATTTCAAAATTTATTTGATCTTCATGGAATTAATAAAACATGCAAAAAAATTGTTTAAGAACATATTATTCTTCTTTAAACATTATTATCTGTCACAGAGTAAAATACTTCGAAAATACTTCAAATGATGACGCCATACTGTTATAAAATATGACAAGTGCAAATGAAAATGCCCAAGAAGTTGGAATAAACCGCATGTGAATACATACGAAAAACAGGTATTTTAAAATATAGTGAATGTTGTATGTGTTGCAGATGGAATTAAAGTGTTTTAATTAGATAAATTAGTGTTTATGCTATAAATCTCTAAGAATAAATTACAATTAGCCTCTCCTCTATCATTTTTGAATCAATGCAAATATAACTAGGAATCATGGAATGCAAATATAAATAGTAAACAACAACACTTAGTGAACATTGCATTATGAATAGCAATTGCTCTGCAGAGCAAAGTGGTATTTATAACGCCATGTTCACTGAATAATGTTGTTTATTTCTTAAATTTCCAACCTATTAAAAAAGAGAAATGAAGTACACGAAATACAAAAATTAAAATGTCCAATGTAATACCCATTAGCTCGCCGATTAATTATTATAATTTTATAAGCTCACCTGAGCTTGAAGATAAAGGGAATCCGTTGTCAATCTGTTTTCTGTCTATCTTCTGTCTGTTAACTTTCCACATTTGCAAATTTTTCTAAGAACTGTCTCTTCAATTTCAACCAAACTATAGCTTGACATCTAGTCTAGTTGATGGTTAGTTAAAGTTTAACTATACAATTCTGATAAACCTGTTTATTTACATATCAAAATATAGAAATCAGTCATCTAAAATCTAAAGTTTAGCGAGTAAGCAATTTGTCAGAGTGTTTTAATGGCATCTTTTTATCTTTGCTGGTTATAGACCAGTTAAAACATACAGAAGCGCACAGAAAAAGTACTTAGAATGTCTTAGGCTATTTGTTGCAGTATTGTACCGATGTTGTCATCAATGATTGCACAAGAGTTTGGTCGTAGTTACATGCAACTAGTAACATTATAAGAATCACATTCTTTTCATTAATTATTAATTTAAATGAATTCCTGTAGTCGTTTACATATCTAGTTGTCCTTTTTTTTCCCTCTTCCTTTGCAACAGAAGGGAAAAAAATGAAGATTACGAACAATGATCGATCTAAAAAAAAACCTATCTAGAAACAAAACTTATCTGTAAACAGGGCACAAAATATGGATCTTCAGAAATTCCACAGATAGAATCAGGTGTCTAGGAGGCGTAAGCATCCCCTGTTGTCCAGCCACACCCGACATCAGCCCTATGTATTGATCAGGAAGACAGAATATTCCGTAGTACATTTAATATAGAAACAAATACGACCCAGTGTTAGATTACGACCATAGCTCGTCCGCGTGGCACAGTGGTAAGAGCGTTTGCTTTAGGGTTGCGGCGTAAGGAGTTGATCCTTATGTCGCGGGTTCGAATCCACTGCGCGACGTAGATACCGGTTTTTCGGATGAGAAAGTATAAACCGAAAGTATAATCCCTCGGTGCTCAAAGGCCGTAAGTGCTTAGTTCAGGTCTAAATTTGCAGCCTCCAACGGCAAGTGGTGGCATCTCAATTTGAGTGAAAAATTCTTGAAGGGACGTTAAACAACCAAACAAACAGACGACTATAGAATATACGAAATGCTGAGTTGGTCAGTAACTGGTCTATAGTCAGTAAAACGTCCAAATATGAAACAGATATGGCAGACTCTGTGATGCCTTTTATATCAAATTCAAGGGGATATATTATTTTAAATCACTTAAGAAAACTTATCTCTCAACTAATAAAAATATGATTTCATTCCGGGGTACTGTTTATTTTTCGACTTTTTATTATGGTGCATGTATGGACTTTTTATAGCTGTTATGTGATGATACTGTCTTCGAGCACTTCTTAGCATCAGATTCTCTAATGTTTGTTAATGTCTGTAACGTCTAATGTCTTAAAAGTGTCTTCATATCATTGGCTTTGATAATTTAATAGAATATAATTAAAAAAAAAAAGTTTGATTTTTCATATATATGGGTACTATCATAACATGCCCCGTACATCAAGATTTCTACTGACGGATAGTAGTAATATTTACATGTATTAGGAAATATTCATAGGATGAGATTTGAATTGTTCAGATTCGATATTGGAGCTAGGGTGTGGCCACAGAAAGGGATTTAATATTAGTCGTTTTTGAAAAGGTAAATGTCACAGGGATTGGAAAAGTAAGATTCTTGTTGAGTCCGTAGTTTGTAAAGGATTAATGTTATAATTTGTACTTGAAAGAGATGTAATGAACGATCAGAGTGTGTTTCAGAACTCTTTCATCAGGTCATTTCCAACTCCTTCCTTTCCATAGTCATTTTTTAGAATTATTTAAGATGACAGGGGTTGGAAGAGTAAATTTCTTGTGCGGCCCAACTTTTTTCAGGAGAATTATTACCAGATCATACATGTACCTAAAGCAAAGGTAGCTTTTGAACAGAGCAAGTGTCAGACCGCGGACGATTTGAATATGGTCAATGAAAAAAAAAATAAATTACAGAAGAATATACATGTTCATTCTAATATTTTAGGCATCCCTTGACAGCAGCTGTAATTGGGGTATCAATCCTCATATGCGTAAGCATCGTATTTCACGTTTATTTTTATATTCATATAACAATTGTCTATTGCATCTTGAATAAAGCACATTTTGAATCTCATGTGCACAATAAATTGACAAGTATTCTTTTCTAATTTTAGATTATTAGCTGTGTTTTCTTCTCTGGACTTGTAGTCGTACGATATGGGAAGCCTTCGTACAGTCTCCTGACGGATAGTTTACATGCCATTCGTCTAGGATCGCTAGATATGTCAGCTAACAGAGACAATGCTATTCTCATAAGCGTTGTTTCACTTTCTGTTTTGTTTTGTCTTCAATGTGGAAAATTTATTTCCATTGGATTGATGAAACCAAAGGTTACTTTACTGGTAAGAGAGACACCTAAATAACTGAATAAAAGAGAAGGAACAGTTTTTGTTGAACCTCGTCATTTTCTCGTGTATGATTTTATTTCCTATTTGTAGATCCTCTGGTCAGAATTACCCCTATTTATTTTACATCTCTGCTCCGCTGCAATGACCATCATACTGTTAAAACTGGTATACCTATGAATGATTATACCTTTCGTGATAAAATTTTACCGAATAAGAATGTTTTTAGTTATCTAGCACGATTTTGAAAAAAAAAATGGTTTGCATATTTATATATGTGCATAAAATACATGTTTTTCCATCAAACTTTAAAAGATGAACGTATTTTTTAAACTAACATAAATTTAAAGAATTTAATATTCATTATTCAACCTTTATTTCATGGTTTATCGTTTAAAAATTTTAAAATAATCTTTTTTAGAGGAAGAACTTCATGTTTTATAATAAAGAATAGTAAGCATATTTACAGTACTTCAAAATGAGTATTTACATTACAGGTTCACTGCTGCTCTGACGACACTGATTGTTTATTTTCAGTCAATAGCATCAACTCTCTGATATCTTCTACAGAAGTAAGGCAACAAGAAAAAACTTATATAATTATTATTCTTTGAAAAAAAAAATAATGCACAGATTTCAGTTTTTATAATTTCAAAAAAAAAGTTCAAATTCAATATGATATACATATATTATAACGTATAACTTCTACGCACGAACGCGTTCACCATATTGCTTTTTCAATGTGCTGTTCTTTGTTTTCTATATCAATTTGATTAGTTTTGTGACTCACATATTCGGGAACATGCAGACTTGCAGTTTAGGTTGATGCTTGGATTCGGCATTCTAAATATCATATTACAGGTAAGTATTAAATTTAAAAAAAGGTCTCTGTTTTGTATTTAAAATTACAAATTACTTGAAATAGGATAACAAAACAAGGTACAATTACTATTATCACACACACACACCATCACACAAACTTCACCCCCATATATATATATATATATATATATATATATATATATATATATATATATATATATATATATATATATATATATATATATATTCATTTCAGTTTCTGTCGCTAGTCCTTGGTTATGTATATTTCAAACGATCAGCAGACGGTAAACTGGGTATTTTCAAAGGTGTCTCAGAACTTTTCAAGAGTATTTGGTGTGAACTCAGGAGGATAAGGTCTGCATATCCAAAATTTGGAATTCAAGTTTTGTTATGTTAAAAAAAATAATTTTGCTTGATTAAGAACTTGAATAATTAAAATGTATATTTTATTTATTTCATTTAGGATTTAATAATTGTATGCTTAGTGTATTGCAAATTTCTTCTCCAACAGAATGCTAAGAATGTTAAAGTTCTATATCCAAAGATTTACTAAAGTAGTTTGGCAAAAGATTGAAGGAAAATTGTAAGTCAGTCTCTCTTTTCCTCCTTCTCTTAAAAAGAATGATAGCTATTCAATATAATAAAACAAAATTTTGATTTTTTTTTTCAGACAAAATTACACAATTATACAGAGGATATTCTTAAGTTTACAGATATTGATTTTGGTATGTGTTGAGATAAATTGTTAAATCAAAGTTTTAAACTTTCTCATATACATTTAAATCTAAATGACATACTTGAAATGTTGATTTCCTTTACCACAGATTTTAAATTTCCTCTTTTGGATTGGACTTTTCCGAATGGCACTATATCCGGGATATCTGCCGACCAGTGGCCTTATGCGTAACACATCTAATGTTAAACTTTCCTTTGGCTTTGGGAATATTGGGACAACTGTATTTGGAATAATATATTCGTTAATAGCAGTTGTTCCTACAACTAGTTTTTATCAATTGCTGGGAGTGATAAGTTTGATAGCACATAAAAGAGATCTATTTAAGATGGTAAGTCATATACATGTATATAACTCAATTGTTCTTTAAACAACCTTCAAAGATACTGTTAGAGATCAATGTAACATGCAAAAAGCTGACTAAAACGGGTTTGTTGAAATGTACTTTTTGGGCAGTAACGGTTTGAAAATTATCGTACTCAGAGCATGTCCATGCGTATGGAAACAATTGGGAGACATAAACACCATATGCAGATGATGATGGAATATAACTACATAAATAAGGAAAGTTGACGATGGAAAAGCTGAATTCATCACTTGTCATACAGTTTACTTATTAGTAAGCCATTAACGTCAGTAGTAGTCGCTTTATTTAGTCGCTTTATTCTCTAGTCACTGGGATATATCGAAACATGAATGAACGTAACTATTGTTAATTGGTAAAACGTCATCGATATATCTAAATGAAGAGTTGAAGGCCACAGCAAAAGTTTTCTTCTTCTCGTATATGATTTTTTTTGAAAAATTCTGCTTCAAAGGAATGTAGATCCAGGTCAAATAATAACGGGGCGCAGTTCCCACGGAATTCCAATGTAAAAAGTAAAGATAACGAACAGTGATCGATCTTAAAAAATCGAAAAACAATACAAATATGTGAAGAGGGTATAAAACACGGATCCTTGGAAATTCCATAGGTTGGATCAGGTGCAAAGGAGGAGTACGCATCCCCGATTGACCGGTCACACTCGCCGTGAGCCCTATGCATTGATGAGGTAGACGGAAATATCCGTAGTAAATTTAGTACCAAAAAAGGCTAACAATAGTTTTGAAACAAGTCAGCCAAAATACGACCCAATGATAGGTTATATCTACTAAGAAGGTCATTTCTACGACCATAAAATTTATGAAATGCTGACTTTAAACGAGGCTGTTCAAATCCCTGTAAATCTTTAAATTGATAGTGCTCGCAAGCTCTTGAGTGGTGAATAAGTTGGGAGACATAAACACCATAAGCAGGTGATAATGGAATGTTACTACATAAATAAGGAAACTTGACGATGGAAAAGCTAAAGACATCTCGTTTGTCATACAATTTAGTTGTTAAATGGCCTTTCACAAGTGAGTTAAGTCTAATTATAGACGTTTCTAAAAAATAACCAATTAAAATGCATAAGGGCTATATTTATTATACAGGAAAGGTTAAAACTTATTTTCTAATGCAAACTTGGTACCCGTGCCAAGTGATAGCCGGTACACATTATGACGTCATATTATGACGTCATTGCCCTCTACTACACAAAGTTATAAAGAATAACAACAAAAAAGCTTCGACGCAAGGGATTACCCTATTTATTTTTACAGAGACAGGGTCTTATTAGAAGCAGAATATTCCAAAGATTTGTGATATTGCTGCACAAATGTCGGCAGATCAATTGTTTAGTTACTATTCTAAAGTTTTGAGTTGAAATGGGGTAAAAATTCACAGTCCAGTGTAGGTTTCCTCAAATTTTCATCAAACGAGAAAGTGCATGGGATTTGTGCAGCACTTTTATTAATCTTTAGAATATTCTTCGTAGAATTATGCATTATTTACTTAAAATTAAATAGGGTATGCACTTGCGTCAACGCTGTTTTTTGATGTGTTTCATTACTTTGAGTACAAAAGAATAATGACTTCATAATATAACGTCATAATGTGCACTAGCTATAACTTGCCTTGGGAACTAAGTATGTATAAGAAAATGAATTTAAGCTTTCTCTATATAATGAATATACCTCTTTTGCATTTTTATTAGCTCATTTGCATAGAAACACCTATACCTAGCCTTAACTCACTTGCGTTATCGTCTATGTTCAGTAAAATATCTAGATATGAAACAGATATGACAACTCTGTGGTGTCTTTTATTTCAAGTTCACTGTGATGTATCGAGTCGACATACAAATGAAAATAACTATTGTTAATTGATAAAACATCGTCAATATATCTGAATATCGAATCTGATATAAAATTAATGCAACTATTTTTTCCCGAATATTTGATTTATAACACTCTAAATAACACACACACACACACCCTCACACACACACACACACACATAGATATATATATATATATATATATATATATATATATATATATATATATATATATATATATATATATATATATATATATATATATATATATATATATAGTTTATTCATATAAAGAATTTCATACTTTTCAATTGCCAGTAAGATGAAATCATGTACAATTTGTACTTTTTGTGAAACTTCTAATGTCAGAAAGCAAAAACTCTAGAGTACTCTACCCTCTTCTCAACTATATGAATTTATATTACAGATGTTTATCATAAAATTCATACATTGCTTTGATCTAGAACTTCATGAAAAAAAATTAACATTGACAAACTTGTAGAAGGGGTTGGACTGGTTGTACATTTTGCTTTACCAAAAGTAGCGCGTCTGTTTCTTATTCCTTTTGTTTAAATGGATTTGTCTTGTTCACCTCAAGCTAGACCAGCTGTATGGTTCATTCAGACGGCTAGGAGAAAGATATTGTTTTGGAGAGCTAATTACACATTTTTGATTGTTACGTAATCCCAGAGGCATTACAAAATACCTTAATTAAAATTAAGGTTTATCTAAAATACAAATGAAAGTATGAAAATTTAAATGTGTAGTAATTGTACTTCAGACGGAATATTCTAAAGGATAAATTGTCGTTGAATATATTTAAAGAAAGTTTAATCAGTAGATAAAATTGTTTAAATCATTTTTTATTCAGTTTTATTATTTAAAAAAAGGGACAAAGTCTAAACAATTATTACTGTATCATTTTTCGTAATGAAATTTGGAGATAACGAACAGTAACCGAGCTCCAAAGTCCAATGAAACAATATAAATCGGTAGCAGAGCAAAAGCGGACCTCTAGAAGCATCAGGAATTGGATCAGATGCTATGGGGGAGTAAGCATCCTCTGTCGACCGATCACAACCGTCGAGTACTCTTTGTCATGATCGGGCAAACGGAAAGATTCGTAGACAATTCAGTGTATTATTGTGTAATGCCAGTATTACTCTTGATGTGAGAAAGTAATGCATTACATTACCATTACAATTTTAATGATTTCAATTTGTAATGCAAATTTTTTGGCATAATACATTACTAGCATTTCTTTGAATTCAAGCAATGAATTGCAATGCATTATCTTTACAATTACTATTACTTCAAGCCTGAACGTAAATGAGCACATGGCGTGTATTAAATACAACAAAGAATTTAACAACAATCCCAGTGTCAAGTAGACCCTGATTGATGCTCAAAGCCTATTTATGTACAGAATGTAGAACCAGTTTGAATATATTATTTATTTCAGTACTAATACATAAATTGTGGATTTCTGAAGAATACCGTTCGTTCTATTTTGGGCAACATTAAGAATAAGCATTTAATCACATGCAGTTATTCATTTATCAGAAAAAAAACCATTATGATCCAAAGTTAGTGTTACTGCCAATTGCAAAGGCTTTCTTTTAATTTAGTTTACAGTTTCTGTCGTTGGCCTTAGCATCGGAGATTTAATATACCTTGTTTTTTCTTCTGAAGTTCTTCATTTTGTAAGTATTACATATTATCATATTACAGTTACTCTTCCTCTTCTTTACATTGATTCAAGTGAAGCGATAAAACAAGATGATAAATAGAGAGAAAGCTAACTAGCTTGCTAGCTAGTTAGCTAGCTAGATAGCTAGATAGATAGATAGAATCTATTTATGTTGAATAAGTTTCTTTTTGGATGTTAAAGTTTACAGAATCATAACTTTTCAATCTCAATTTTGCCAATGGCTTCACAATCGCGTTCATTAAAGTCTTACATGATGCTTTCTTAAATATAAACATTCCGTTCTTTCATTATAGGGTTATTGTTATTGTAAGAATAGTTCTGCATGTGAAAGCTATAATATGACTGCAGTCGGACCGGTAAAAGAGGTAGCATGATGATTTTTAGAATGCTGACAACAATTTATATACTTTTTTTTAGATATTAAAGTAACAAATGGATATAATAATTCCTCCTTTTGTTTCTTATGTAGACCTGCAGATCGTTATTTCTTGAACCAGCGGGTGTGTTAGTGGCTTATCTGGTAGCCTCATTCATTATACATGTAAGTTATGAGTACATAGAAAAGTTATGTTCTTGAGATGTTCCACATGAGGGTTCATTTTATCCTTAAAAAAACAGAAACAACAAAATGCGTATGCTTGATGTTATTTGATTTACATCCCTTCCAGAATATTTTATTCATGTTAAAATATTACTCATTGCCACTGGAAGGCTGCAGATTCAAATCTGTATTCAAACGTATGGGCAATTACCAGAGAGGGATCTTTTTGATGCCAGCATTTCCAGATACATGGGATCCTGGTTTATATATACGATCTAATCCGAAGGACCGATACCCATGTCTGGATGTGGGATTCGAACCCGCGAAGTAAGGATTGGTTCCTTACTCGGCGAATCTAAAACGAAACCGCTCTTGCCACTTGGCTTAAATGTAGTTCAGACGTATTAAACAGAAACCGTGTTGACAAAAATATTTTGTTCAATAACTGCCAAACCTTCCCATCTTTTTACTTTAGGGTGTCATTTATGCTGCTTCATTTGAGACAAACATTGTACCATTTTAGTTTTAGATAAAACCTCTTGATGATGTTCACATATATACACAGTGGTATTTTTATAAGCAGTTTAACATGAGTATGAACAGCATTGTACTGAAGGGGATTAAAACTTTTAGTCAGTATCCGCTAAGAAACACCCCCCAATTTTTTTTTAAATTTTATCTGTAGTGAACAACAAAATGACATACATGTATAAGCCAAAGAACAAATAAGTTTGTTTGCTTTCAAACATTACATTTAGTAATCATTTAGAGTTTGAGTAGGACATGTAAGTAATCTGTTTTAACTGTTGATCTGGGTCAATTCAATTCAGGAAGCCTAGTCAATTAATCGAGGGCTTTAGTCGAGCGATACTCGAGTACTGTGATTTTATATGTGTGTTATTTATTTTCTTTCATATTTTTATTTAGAGTTTGAGTAGGGCATGTAAGTAATCTGTTTTAACTATTGATCTGGGTCAATTTAATTCAGGAAGCCTAGTCAATTAATCGGGGGCTTTAGTCGGGCGATACTCGAGACTGTGATTTTATGCGTGTGTTATTTATTTTCTTTCATATTTTTAGATTATAATTTTATTTCTATCAATTCAAATCTTAAGACGATTTTATGCAAGAGTGGGTATTGTTGTCGAGAAGAGAAAGCTCAAACATCAACGTTCACAGCAAAACTCAGTAGTTCATAAAAATAACAAGTCTGAAGCAGAAAGCCTCTCAAGAAACCCCTCTGAATTGAAAGAAGAAACGACGGAAGATGCTAACGATGAAAAGGCTTTAGTAATCGTGGATTCTTCAAAGGAAAATGCGCAAGACAAAGAGATAAATCATACTGACAAGACGCACACAATGGAGGAGGAGAATAGACATTTTGAAATTCTAAGAATGGACGACGAAATGACTGAAAGAAAGGAACAGTATTACAACATGACCGGGGACGTGCAGAATGTGGACACCGGCCACCGACAGCGTGAACATGCGGAACATCAAATAATGAACACTAATGAGAGAAATGACAGAGATGACCAAAATGAAACAATTGAGAAAAATGAAAAATCAGGAGAAGCAGGTGGAGAAACAGCCAGTATAAATGATACAGAAGGAGATGAAAAGAAGAAAAAGAAGGGAAGAAAAAATAAAGACAAGAAACGAAGAGAACAAAATGGGGAGGAACATGATATGGAGCAAACCAATGAACTGGATTCTGCTACACAAAGACAAGAGGATGAAGACAAAACTGATGAATTGAAAATTGAAGATATGTCGGATTCTGGTGCCGAAACTAGTTGGCAAGGTAATTTTGAAATTTTGCAATGTACATCTTGCTAATTAAAACGTTCAAAAATAAAAAATCTCTTTGGAAAATATCTTCAAAAGCATGTCAAACTGTGTGTCAAGTTAAAGTTAACAAAAAGTAACATGGTATATAAGTCTTACTATGCATAATTAACTGTATTTCACGAGTGTATTTTGAAGCCTTTTCTAAGAACATCTTAAATATTATAATAATTAGATGTACAGTCTTTTAAAATAATCGACATTCTCTGTTTGTCTTTTCATGAATTCTCGATGATTCGTTTTCCGTTTTATTATTAAACTTTTTCAGATTTCTGGATCTGCATATCTTCACTTTTCTTTTTAAAATATTTTTGCAAAGTAAAGTTGAGTAATCCCTTTTTGTTGATTTATATAACTCCTTGCTGTTAATAAAATATAGAAAACAAAACTAAGTGCTTCTATATCATCCTTTACCTAATAAAGTGTATTTCAAATGCTTAATTAATACACAGGAATAATTTTTCAAAGCTGTGTCTCTATGTAAAAAAGTATTTTAGATTATAATATAAATTATCATGAAAACCGTTTTACAAGGATATCTAGAGCTTTATTTAAAACATTATTTCATAGCGTAAATCGTTTATTATGAAAGGCGAGCCGATGAAATCATAGACATCGAATCACACAGAAAGGAAAGAAATAAGAAATAATATTTCTTTATGCTAGACAATTAGTACATTCATTTTTTACAGGGAGGTGATTAATTTTGTAAACCATTTTAAATGAAGCTGAGGCTGCAATTTCACTCTAAAAAACGCATATTTCAAATCTATTACATTATCCGTGTATCCTATTTAGCGCTTTTTGGGAAAAACAGCTTCTGCTAAATCAAGTGCACCGCTAAATGACATGCATATATGTAAATATGTAAACGAATAATGTACTAAATCAAAACTGTATATATATGAATGTATGTATCTGTGAATCTGTATGTATATAAATAATGCACATTAAATCAAATCTAGATAACTTACTAGTATTGAAAAATAAATTCCGCCGAATATTGTACATACTTCATATGTTAATTTAATTTAGTATTTTGTTTTGTAAATATATGAAAGGAAATATACGAAGAAACTTTTGACAATATAACCAGATCATTGTTTTAGCCTTTCTTCCTATAATTTATTTTTTTCATAATGAAAACTATACCTATATCGATATATATACACATGTATTCATACTTTCTTGTTCAAATGTCTTTTATTCTTTTTATGACTTTCTTTTACAGATTCCGGGAACACAACGATAGAGCAACAATAAGCCTACGAACTTCTTATCGCGTGTAACTCATTGCTTCTTTTGCACCTTATATTACAGTCTTGGGTATTCAACGATGAATCTTAAAATGATTTATAAGATTGCAATTTTCAACTTTATGTATTAATTATTATTTTTAACCGAATTCATGGTGTTCTTCTTGAAAAAAAAAAAACAAAGTTCATGTCATCGATCTGGTCATCGTAAGTAATCAAAACAAGAAGCATAGGGGTTACCATGCTAATCTGAGTCACTTCAAATCGTTATGCTTTTCTTTAAAATATTGTTTTTAAAAAAATCCCCTCTTTTTTTAATCACTTGTACCGCACATGGTCCCACCCTGTTCCAACGGGTCATGTCTTAGTCAAATATGAATCAATACCCAGGGGGTATTCATTATACAATATGACTAATATGGCATTGCTGTTCAGGAGAAGATTTTAAAAAAATAATTTCTATATCATGTATTAAATGAATTCGATTTTTGATACAATCTTAAAATAATGACATTCGAATTTAAATAATCATTATTATGAAGTTTTACCTTGCTTCTTTCTAACTATTTTGTTTCATTTGCCAATATATCGCCAATATATTCCCATGTCAAATCTGAATTCCTTATATGCCCCCATCCTTTCCTCCGGGGACCATTACTTGAAACGTGAATCTGCACTACCTGAGGATGCCTGCTTATCAATGACCTTATAATGACCTTTCTCTTCTTGAGACGATTTTAAAAGATTTTCCCTATATATTCCAAAGCAAAAGATCCCTAATGCTATCAAATCTTAACCCCTCAGGCTGTTTTTGAATTTCAGTAACTGAGTATCTTTGCATAGTTTTTACTTACATGAATATTCATGGCTTGCTGTTTTTGAGAAAAAAAGTAATTATGCATTGCTAATCATGGCTTTCCAGTTCTAGAGATCTGATTTTTTCCCTATACATCCAAACATAAAAATGAAACATGAAGATAAAGAAGAGTAATCAAGCTCAAAACTCTGCTGGAACAATACAGATTGGGAGAAGAACAAATACGGACTTTAAATACATCAGAAGTGGGATCAAGTGCAATGAAAAAGTAAGCATCCCCTGTCGACCACTCACACTCGCAATGTACTCCTTGTCATGATCAAGCAAACGGGAAAATCCGTAGAAAATAATGGCCTAACAATTTGTATGAAAAACATCAGTAACATTCTACTACACGATAGATTGTATTCCCTTACAAGGTCATTGTATTGACAATATTAAATATAATATAGAATATAAATATGAATAGAATTTGAGAAATGTTTACTTTAAACGAGACTGTTGATATCCACATATATCATCAACTTATTTGCCAATAGCTTGCCCCATCACAGAAATTGTTCATAAGTAAAACATTCTCTTGCGTATCGAATCAACTGAGAGACATAAACTCCATTTGCAGGTGGTTATGGTATATTGCTACATGAATAAGAGAGGTTGACACTAGAAAAGTAAATGCCATCAGGTTTATCTTACAATTGTGTTGTTAGGTCACCCTTAATGTCTTTATCGGTAAAATATCCTAATATAAAACAGACTCTGTGTTGTCTTTTATTTCGATTTCATAAACGCCACATGCATGTGATAATGGTATATTGCTACATGAATAAGGGAAGTTGACACTAGAAAAATTCGTGTTCACTTTTATAAAATTTTGTTGTTAGGTTATGGAAGGGAATTACCGCCAAAAGTCTATTTATCTTGCTTTTATTCTTATTCTGCCTACTTCTTTATTCTTTGTTATTATTGTAACTATATGTCACTTTATTGTTTTCATATTCGTCTTTATTACATTTTACTTTGAACTTTTTTCATTCTTCATTTTGTCCTTACTTCTATGTTGCTTTATTCTTGTAAATTCGTTCTTCTTTCTTTTAAATTGATACAGTTTCTTTAAAAGATAATTATGATAATTTCTATTACAAATGTAAATTCATTCACGCAAACCATGAAGCACATTCAACGAAGACGAATACAAGTAGTGTGAATTTAATGCGGCATTATAACGCTAGGAGGCAGGGTGTTCGCTGCGAGTGTTGGTAAAATTAGGTAAGCAAACCCGGGCCGGGGTTATTCGTGATTTTTCAATTTTCTGCCTTAATACTTTATCAATCGAACCCTTTCAAGTTATCTTAGATATAGGTTTATTTGTATACGCGTTAAATTGCCCCGAAATGCTCAATATCTTAGATTTTCTCGAAGATATTTGATTTCCAAGTTGGTAAAATGGGAAGGCAGTATCAAGCTGGCATTTTAAGTGTTTTTTTTTTTTTTTTTTTTTTTTTTTTTTTTTTTTAACTAAAAGCTAATAAATTTATAAATTATTCTGGTGTTAAACATTATATTTTAACTATTTCTAAGCATTTCTTCTTTCAAATGTGTTTTTGTTGCTTTAAATAACACGTTTAAAGAAAATCTGGGTCATTAAAACCGGACCAATGAGGAAAACTCCAAAATAATTGTGTATTTTCTGTCACCTGAAAAATATTACTCTATTCAAGTTTTTTGTTGGATGATTGAATTCCAGTTTTATTGATATAAAAAATATTAAATATTTTGATAATTACTAGTATACCCAAATTACCCTTATAAATTGAGTTGTTTTTCAGGACCCCTATATATTCTTCCACTGGACTGACATTTCTTTCTTTCAGAATCAGAATAATAACTGTTCATGCGCATTCGCCTGATTCTGGGGACCGGGGCTAGTCTGGTTTCGGTCAACCCATAATGCTCTGCAAAGTAGTGCGGAACGTCATAGGTAGGCGTGGCCGGCACCAGGCTAGACCGGGGCATACTAGAAACTTCCCCCGGTTTTTATGAAAATATGTTTTTTTTTTGTATAGAAATAGCACTTTTCAATAAAGAAGTAAATATCTCTAGTAAGCACACAGTGTTTGACATTAGAATAACTCAAAAAATTATTTTGTCGATGTCTCGTTTGGCAAAAAATGCGTAAAATGTCGGCTTGATATTGCCTACCCATCTTAGCAAATTGGAAATAAAAAATCGCCAAAAATAATCTAAAATATTGAGATTTTCAAAATATAAATACATGAATATAAATATTGGCAATTTTTATAGCGAATACAGATAAAACTTAGAGACGTAGCATTGATTTTGAAAGGGGCAGGCAAAGAAAAAAATAACTTACCTAAAAATCTTGACAAGCAAAAAACAAACATACAAACAAACAAACAAAAAAAGAGGAAAATTCTTCAAACTCCAAAATTTTATTGGTGGTGGGGTGGGGTGGGGTCCAACTTCTTTCAATACCAAATTTTACTCATACATCACTACGTACATTGCCCTTATTTGACTAAACTGCAACAAAAAGTGGGGGGGGGGGGGAATCAGACTTTCATTGAACATTTTCAGTAGTAAAAAGTTATGGCTAGAAAAAATGTTTGGTGGCCAGCCCCTCCCCCCCCCCCCCCCCACTGCTATCGGTGTCATATAGTAAGACTTCCCCCATAGTGAGTCCTCCCCCGGAAGTCTGGCTATATAGTGAGACTTCCTCTCGGGGGGGGGGGGGGAATGACTATATAGTGAGCCTTCCGCCCTAAACGACCATAGTGAGACTCCCCCTTCCGTGTTTGGTTTGGATTTTATTTACATCGACGATGTATATATTGTATATTTAGGTAATGATCTTATATATATATATATATATATATATATATATATATATATATATATATATATATATATATATATATATATATATATATATATATATATAAAGATGTATAGTTTCAAGTGAATCAATATAAAAGTGCGCATTAAAAATTTATCGTGCACAGCAGATTATTGTATTGTTCCGAGACGATTCTTATCAAAAGAAAAAAGACATAATTAGTTTAACAGTAAAGAGGTCATTACCCGTAGAAACGTGCAGTTTACCTATGTTTACCTGCATGGTTAAGATGTTTTAATTATAAAAAGCACTATTAAAATGTTTTAATTATTTATTCATAGATTTATTTATTCATTCATAGAGGATGGAGAACTTTTATCCAAATACTGAAAACGTTAGTATAAAAACATTGTTTTACAATAAAAAAAATAATCGGAAACTTAATTAAAGGGGGAAGCTTCGCTATGAAGGGGGAAGACTGACTATATAGTGAGACTTTCCCCCGGAAGACTGGATATATAGTGAGACTTCCCCTGGAGAAGTCTCACTATATAGCTAGTCTTCCGGGCGAAGTCTTACCATCTAGCCAGCCTTCAGGGGGAACGACACCAGGTACATGCCTGAACCTATAACATACATCATTTGAAAATTTGGGTTCGATTGATAAAGTATTTAGGCAGAAAATTGAAAAATCACGAATAACCCCGGCCCGGGTTTGCTTACCTAATTTTACCAACACTCGCAGCGAACACCCTGCCTCCTAGCGTTATAATGCCGCATTAAATTCAAACTACTTGCATTTGTCTTCGTTGAATGCGCTTCATGGTTTGCGTGAATGAATTTACATTTGTAATAGAAATTATCATAATTATTTATTAAAGAAACTGTTTCAATTTAAAAGAAAAAAGAACGTATTTACAAGAATAAAGCAACATAGAAGTAAGGACAAAATGAAGAATGAAAAAAGTTCAAAGTAAAATGTAATAAAGACGAATATGAAAACAATAAAGTGACATATAGTTACAATAATAACAAAGAATAAAGAAGTAGGCAGAATAAGAATAAAAGCAAGATAAATAGACTTTTGGCGGTAATTCCCTTCCATATTAGGTTGCCTTTAATGTCTATTTTCAGTAGAGTATCCAAATATGAAACAGATTTGTCACACTCTGTGTTGTCTTTTATTTTGAGTTCAAAGGGATACTAGTATATCAAATCAATGTAGGAATGAATATGAATGTTGTTGATTGATAAAACGTCGTCTCTATATTAACGAAAATGTCGAATGAATGCCACAGCAAGGGACATCTTTTCGTGTAGAGGTTTTAAAATAAAGTCTGCTCCATATGAATACAAAGTACGTCTGCTAATAACGGGGAGCAGATTGTGCCCATGGGAATTCCAACAGATTGTTAGAAGGGTTATCTCCAAAAACTA